TGTTAAAAACCTAAATGGCCACTCCTTTCCTCATTGTACAACATGACGATCGCATTTTAGGTGAAATTGTGAAACTGGGAGTAACGGTGTGTTTGTGTATTTGAATGAAGTAGTTATTTAGCGGTAAAACGGTGTATCACTTGCAGATCAACCTTATGTGCCTCAGAGTGGAAACAGTAACAGCCGTTCCGTATCTCTTCTGTCCCTTATGGGTACCCGTAGATAGCTGTCTTCCTGTTTCCCTGTTCTGTGGTGGTTGTGCTATCCAGGCAGAAATACCGGGTGGGCACCAATCTTTGGCATCCATGGAGCAGATTAATAACATCCAGGTCGTTCCGTGCACCAGCTCCAATTACCTGAAACCGTTCAGGGTGAATTATAGCCAGGTGAGTCAGTGCAGCTCACTCGTTGTGCATGATCATCTGTGTGCAGTGGGTGCTCCCCTTACCGGACTGTGTCGTTTGTCCCATTCATTTCTGCCACAGGCCATTCCCTGTTTTACAATGACACTGCTATTATTATATCGATATTGAGAATAATACACTAGCTGATAATGGTTATCTGTTTGCGCGCGTGTGGGATTTTGTGCACATTATGTGAATGAAGGAACGTTTGCAGGAGAATAAATTCAACGATAGAAGCGGAAGGTTAGCTTCAGCTTCTGTCATTACGGTCGGATTCGAGGATCATTCGACACAGTGTCTTGCAGCGGGCATCGCCTGGAAGAGTACCTTCTTCGTGATCTGGACAAAAGTCGTGCAGTTCCAGCTTTCCACATCTCCTTGATTGTCTGGAAATGGAGGTCATCTCCCTAAAACACGAACGTACTTTGCGATCTCGCGTTTCGCCCAGCTCGTCACGACATTACTGTACATTTGTTTAATTGGTAAATGGAATGCAAAGCTCTGTCAACGATATGCCTAAAGCCCTACAGCGATAAATCAGACGGTTAAGTGGTTATGCCGACCCATACATGTTGAACAATAAGTGCTCTTAACCAGCATCAGTCAAAACCTTAGGACAGCCTCTAAATGAAAGGATGATCATATTTCAAATGCAGTACCAGCTCGGCATGATCTCATTTTTATATTCCTCGATGCCATTTGCTCTGATCATTTGTCAATGTTCTGGCTCTTGCCGTGTCTACATCTGTCTTTTAAGGGGAGATGTTATCCCTGTTCTAAATTCTGCTGCCCCCCTAAAGTGAGCTATAGAAATAGCCTCCCCCCTCTGCAAGGCCAAATCCATGATGCCGGTAAGAGTTGTGGATCAACTGGGCATTGGAATGAAACTTTTCCAGAAAGACTTTCAACGGAGAAATTCCAGCTCTGTATAATTGCCACTTGGCAACTGACTTACACGATTCTGGTGTTGTGACCCTTGAACAGGCAAGTGAAATGATGTCCTAGAATAAGATCTGATTGTTCCTTTGTCACAATGCATTAAGTTGGTGTGCCGCCTCAAAGATAAAAGTATCCTTGTGAACTTAAAAACACCTTACATACTCTACATGCATAATCAACGGCCAATATAGGTCTCCTGAAAGCTACTGGATAATTGTGTGCTGTAACGTCTCAGTGTAGAGTCAGAGCTCAGCACACACAGATGCCCCCGATTCTCTAAAACAATATCATGACGCTTTGTTTCTCTCTGAATCTGTTTAGCTATTCCAGTCGTCCCATGCAATGGTGTTTTCTAGTAAAACAGTTGTTTTCTTTGGATGCCTTCGTAATGAGCTCTTATTTATTTTTCTTTTCTGGGGCACCTGTTTGTGTTTCCTTTCAATTGTTTTTGACGTCCGCGCCACAGTGCTGACATTCTTGCGTGGTTGTCAGACTTCCGCGCATTGAAGTCTCGAGCCCAGCACATTGCAGCCATTGTACTTTCAAGTCCTCTGGTCTTCCAGGCGAGTCGTCACCCTTGTTGGCTGAACGTATCCGCCGCGTTCACTTCGCTTCAGTTCAATTCAGGAACCAGGTGACATCCCTGATCGAATTGGACTGGCTGTCGGCCCGGGTCTTCCATGCAGTTGCGAGCGTGGTCTTCGTGGTCACGCGGTCTTGCTCATTGGGTCAGGTCTGAATCCAGACTCTTAAGTGGTAGTGTGGTGCAGAGGAGTGACATCGTGAGCACATTGTAGAGCAGTCATACAGTATGCTGCTCCACTTGTGTCAGCTATTTGCTGCTGGCCCTGGTGAGCCACAGCCCCTGTACAGAACTTTACTTCCTCTGCGGCCAGAGACCTGGAAGAGGTAGTGATTCTGACCATTTAGACTAATGCTGGACCGCTTAGGCCAGTTAAAGCGCTCTTAACTGAGCTGCCATTCACAACAACAACAACAACAACAACAACAACAACAACAACAACAACAACAACAACAACAACAACAACAACAACAACAACAACAACAACAACAGAATTTAAACTCTTCGGAATGCAGTGTCAGGATTGGTGGTCTGTAGAGCAAGAGCGATGATTTAAAATGAACATGCGAGTGTCCTTACGCTGAATTCCGTAGGTGTTTATTCAAGGATTTGTACTGCTGCCTTGGAATCTGGGAGTGGGTGTGTGTGGTGACAGTGGTTGAATGGCTTTGTGGATTGCGCCCAGTGTGTACCCAGGCTCTTTTGATGTGTCTGTTTAAGCTGGAGCTGCAGGATTGAGTCACTCACACCCACGTAGTCAGAGCTGCTCTGTCTGAGATGGCGCTTTGTCTCCTGAACTGGAGGCACCCAGGTGCCTCTCAGTGACTCCTTCACCTGGGAAATGCAGATCAGGTTCTGGTCCTCCATCCTTTGGCTGAGTAAAACCCGATTAGTGTCCTCTCCTGTCAAAGCAGTGGCTCCGAGCTGACACCCGGACTAAGCTCTAAACCAGGGATTCTCAGTCCTTGTCTTAAAGAGGACGTCTTCTTCTGCTTTTTGTTGCATCTGAATCTCTATTCCTTGACCATTTGTGAACAGTTTTCTAAATTAGTCATTTTGTTTTCTTGGTTTCAGAAATATCCTGCAGTATTTTTTTCAAAGTAGTTCATAAACTGAACTCTGCTTAGTCTCTCCTCAGCTCATGTAATGAGCTGTTGTCCTGTACAACACTTACCTAGTTATTGATGCACAGCCAGCTGGAAATTAATATTGTGTTAATACCTTCTCAGTAGAAACTCTGCTCATTCTGTATGTTTTCATTAACGTAAAGTCAAGATACGTGATACTGAAGCTGAAATTGGTTAAATAAAGCAAATTGTACTAATAAGGTCTTAATAAGCTTCAATAGAACATTTACAGAGGGCGGGGTCATTTGTCCTTCTCAGGCTTTTAGTAGCTAATTGAACAGAAGCTCCCACCCAGCTCTTCCTTGAGCACAAGACAGAGAGTATTGGCTTCAGCACTGAGGCTGGGTTAGCTTGTTCCAGACTACCGCCTACCTTCATGTAAAGAACTGTTTATCAGTTTGAATTGCCCTTCTTCCCAGTTTCCACCTGTGTCCTCTGGTTTGGGTCCTCAGTCCTGGACTGAGAAGACTGGTAACATCCATTTCTCTGTCTTAGCCTGAACTTTTAGGATATTAATTTGAACACTGGAATGTATTTGGTCTTTGGTCTTTCTTCTCTGGACTGACTGTGCATTTCACAATTTTAACATAAGACACCTTGATAAACATTCACCATTCATAAGCTTTGTATATTCCAGCATTCTCGTATCTTTTTTTATTGCTTCACCAGAGTTTAGATCATGAAAATGATGCACATCTGTATAAGTATCTAAGTCATTCTCTCATGTAGCCCCTGGGATTGGATATCTATAGTTTATATTTTTCTTACTTGCTTCCAGTACCGTGCTCTTGTCTGTCTTCTGCCAGGTGTTAACCATCTCCTGAATGTGGCCTAAATCTTTTCTGGAATTAAGATCTGGTGTCTGAACATAAGCAGAGTTTAGCTCTGAGAATCTTGTATTCATACAAATAAGGTGTGATGTCAGCTTACGCTGAACTGATACTATTTTTTATTATTGTTATTGCTTGAGCAGTGATATTAATGTCCGGTTTTGAAATTGATGTACTATCACGCAGTAAAGACAGTCTGTCAGAAAGACTGGTATGATACTTTCATGGTATAATGTGTTGTTGCGGTCAGATAATTCGGGAAACAATTTCATTTTTGCTGCATACTCCTCCGATATTTGAGGAGTATGCTGTTTTTTTTTAATTCAGTGAATAATTTTGCATTGCAAAGCTATAGTTACTGACCTTAGAGCGAGCAATAGCACCATAACATACCCTCATGAAAGTAGACAGGTGAAGATGGAATTGCTGAATTAGCTGCTATGCGAATTTGACATAATAGTCCCCATTACATGTAAAGCGCTTTGAGTGGAGTGTCCAGAAAAGTGCTATATAAGTGTAAGCAATTATTATTATTATTATAATGTTTAGTTAATTTCCAGTCATTTTATACAGTATTGGGAATTAAAATAATAATAATAAAAATAATTATAATAATTGCTTACACTTATATAGCGCTTTTCTGGACACTCCACTCAAAGCGCTTTACAGGTAATGGGGACTCCCCTCCACCACCACCAGTGTGCAGCATCCACCTGGATGATGCGACGGCAGCCATAGTGCGCCAGAACGCTCACCACACATCAGCTATCAGTGGGGAGGAGAGCAGAGTAATGAAGCCAATTCATAGAGGGGGATTATTAGGATTTCCACTTCGCCCTGTGGTCTTCTTCTGCTGACTGAATGAATGGTTATGGACAATAAGTGAACTTTAAGAGAAGTTTAAGAGACCAGTGTAGGGACTGTCTCTAAAGGAATAAAATCAGCCCAGTCAAGAAGACCTACCCTGCCAAACAGCCAGAAGAATGATGTCTCTTGTGCCGTTGTTACTGCAGACAGGCAGTGATAGTCATTACGAGGAGTCGTGATGCCTGCGTTCATTTTCCGAAGGTGAATTTAAAAGCCCGCTCCTTGTTCATGACAAATCAAAAAATGTACATACATATGTGACATATCTGTTGAAAAAAAAAATGTTGTTGTGACATTTAGCTTAGGGCTGATAGACGTGCAACAATAAATGTCACCAGAGTCTCAGTGTATAAAATATTCAAATCTATTGTTGCTCACTGGAACTATAAAGGAAGTAAGTGCTGTTGCTTTGATGGTTTGCCTTAAATACATTCTGGAACTGGAACATTCATTTACACTGACTTCATACCTCAGTGACAGCTGCACTGACCTGTTCAACGCCTAACCTTGTTACTTGAACAATTGCTTTATAAATAGGCTGTGATATAAGGCTGCAGAGATTTTTTGGGGACAGTCTGGCTTGTCAAAACTGCATGGCGATAGGTCTCTTTTATCACTATTGCAGCTAGTCACATA